ACCCCCGTGTGTTTTTAAAGTTTTATTTTATTTTGCGTTTAAAAAAAAAAAAAAGAAGATTTTTTTGATTTAAAAAAAAAAAAAAAAAAAAGCATAGCTGATCAAGACTTAACCCAGTTTGGTATTTTTCTTTTTCTCGTTTGCATATTCATGTTTTTTTTCTTCCTGAGTTTTAATTAGATCTGTCACTCCCAAATGGTTTTCCAATACGTGTAGCTAGACCCTTTTGACCATTTCTTAAAATGGATCTTGAATGATTTTCTGATTTTGTTAGAAATTAGTAGGATCGTTTTTATCTAGAGGGATTTGACCAGCACACCACATCTCAGCTTCAAATATGAAACAAAGGTGCTGTGGTCAATCTTGATGAATAGTAGCTTGAACATGAAGATCGACTAGTTTTCCCATATGCTGGAGAAGAATTTTCATGTTTTGGATTTCTAAGTTTTTTTCTGTTTTGACGTGAAGCGCTTGGTGAATTTTGCTTTTTTAAGTTAATGCATTGTTGCAGATACACTGATTGTATTTGAAAAAAAGGACCTACAGATTTTTGTTTCGCCTTTTATTTACCAATATTATTACTGTAGATTGAAGTGAAGTCAGTTGGTGACCAACATGTATCTTCTGAGAAGACAAGCTCAAAAACCATCCCCAGAGGATGATTCTGCACAAAAAGATGCAAAGGTAACAAATTAAATTACTGTTCTGGGTTTTTATTTTATTTTATTTTTTTGTGAAAACAACTAGTATACAATTGTCCATCCAAAGGGCTTTAATCTCAAGTAAATCAATCGGCTTCTCTGGCATGCACATGATGATAATTGTTAAATGAGCAAGAAAAATTAAACCTTGTCTTCTTATCTTATTTGCAAAACAAATTTGAACGGAAAAGGTTAAGTTACATAACAAATATTGAAATCTGACATTGGGTGAAACAAATTTGCAATCAGATCAAAGAACTCAGGGCTGCACTTGGCCCCCTGTCTGGACGAAATCTGAAGTACTGCACTGATGCATGCCTTCGGAGATATTTGGAAGCTCGGAGCTGGAATCTTGATAAGGCGAAGAAAATGGTGGAAGAGACACTCAGGTGGAGGGCAACTTATAAACCTGAAGAAACTCGTTGGGTAATTCAGATGAACTTTTCTCACATGCAAAAACTAGAAATGGATATGTTGCGGTTCTAGTACTGTTTGTTTCTTTTAATATCTCATTACTTCTGCTTGCAAATAAAACGATCATTTTTCTTGTGGAAATCAACACAACATCACCTTGGAAAAAAAAACATCAGGGCATGGGGCTTTGAGTCTTTGGTCTTAACTGAAAATAAAAGAAAAAGAAGCAGTGTTAGGATGCCTAAGCTTGCATATGCTGTTTTCATGTAGCCCACATCAAAGATATGGCAGAATAAACTCATTGTGGACTCAGATGGTGTTCTCTAACCACATTGCATATGTAATGCGTTCATTTAATTCCTTTACATGATCTGCAGCTTATTGATGTTAAATTTCAGTTCACTATGGTTTGGTTTAAGTTGTACTTACTTACCATGGAAATATGTCATTGTTCAGCATGAAATAGCACATGAAGGTGAGACTGGAAAAGTGTCAAGAGCAAACTTCCATGATCGACTTGGGAGGACTGTGCTTATAATGAGGCCAGCAATGCAGGTCTGTTGTAGGCTTTGCCCACCCCCCACAAAAATTGGTTACACTGTCTGTAGATTTTAGTAAATAGATCTTACTCTTTATCTTTTTTATTTTCTTTCTTTCAGAACACAAACTCACCTGAAGGTAATATCCGCCATTTAGTCTATCTTATAGAAAATGGTATCCTCAACCTTCCTGAAGGTCAAGAACAAATGTCGTGGTTGGTTGACTTCTCTGGATTCTCGTTGAACACCAATGTCTCAGTCAAGACAGCCCGTGATATTATTTACATTCTACAGAACCATTACCCCGAGAGGCTTGCGGTTGCATTTCTTTATAACCCACCAAGGATTTTTCAGGCGTTCTGGAAGGTTTGAACTACTTACTGTTGGAAATTTTTTAAGTTGTTATTGACACAGACATCCACTGCACACACATAACTTCAACTGAAGTTTGATCACCAACATTTCAACTTTATTGAGAAAATAAAATTTAGTTAATTAAATTTCAACTGGAAGGCAATTCGATTACTTCCACCACTAGATTTAGAACAGTTCAACTTTTGAACTTAGCATGACACCCACAGGCACGCGCGTGCACACACACACACACACACACACACGGGTTCTTCAAGCATGTTCAGTAAAGGGTCCTGTTCCAAACCTGATAAACTCTTGGATGTAAATCTGAAAATTCATTTTAGATAAAGAGTTGTAGTCCGAGTTCACTTATATACACTTTTATTGATACACTATTTGTAGCTTAGCACGCATATCCGTCATTTGATGAACTTCCTGCTGCTTTTACTTCTGTAGGGTGTCAAGTACTTCTTGGATCCCAAGACATTTCAGAAGGTGAAGTTTGTATACCCCAAAGGTAAAGAAAGTGTAGAGGTCATGAAGACATTCTTTGATGTTGAAAATCTTCCGAGCGAGTTCGGGGGTCAAGCCACCCTAAAGTACGACCATGAGGAGTTTTCACGAATGATGGCCGAGGATGATGTGAAAACTGCCAAGTTCTGGGGATTTGATGAGAAGCCTTGCCACATAAAAAATGGGCTTTCGGGAGCAGAGGTGGTGCTGGGGCCCTCCCCCATTGCACCTATAGCTAGCTGAGCACCCTGCCTAATGCCCAGAACAGTAAGAATCACAAAAATCATACGATGAGCAGGAGCTGAACTTATATATAGAAGTTTAGTTTCAATTTCTGAAATGAGGACTGGAATGTTCATGATTCAGTTCCTTGATGCGGGTTAATAAACATGCGATCTACTGTGCTTAACTGCTAACCATGAGGGAAATAGACAAACCTCCGTGTTGTTTTCCTGATGTTCTCACCCTAAACTTACACTGTAATATGTTTCTTCTATTTTTTCAATGCATCTTTTATTCCCTCTTGATTTAAGAACTTTGTTGCCAACTGCTTCAAAATTTCATTTCGATTACAACGCAAAACTTAAGCATGGTGCATTCAGGTCATAAACAGCTAACCAATTCCAAGCACTTAGTTATACTTGTTCATAGCTGATCGGGCTCAGCTATCCAATTTATCTTCAATTTGATTTCTTAGTACCTAAAAATTCAATGCAAACTCCCATTTGTTTTCCATTTTATCAGGATGGTAAGAATTGTGAAGTTCCTTACTTTAGAGATGTTAAATAATTGCGATTAAGAAGTACGTTGATTTAAGGTGTCGAACACATGGAAGACTATATGAAGTCTTTACCAAAACATAAAAAATAAGAGAAGACTATTTGAAGGGAAAAGAAAACAAAGCAAAACCTTTGACTGACGAAATATTGAAACTCATGGGCGGCATCTCAGGCTTAATTTTATATTCTTAACTGATGAAATTTCTGATTATTTTATTTGACGGGTTGTCCACACCAAAAGATGGCCAGCCAACCAACCACATTAGACACTATAAGATAATCCAAACACAGACTACACACACACTCTGCAACTTATGTTTTCCTTCCTATTTTACATGATAGCTTTTGCAGATGAACTTTACGTAGACATAACAAGGCCACTCACTGTAAAGCAACTTCACTTAATAGAGGCAAAAAGGGAGATTAACAATACAACAAAGCAATTTCTTATTGCATATGAACTACTAAAGTTTCTTCTGTACAGTGGGTTTTAAGCTGTGAAGTTTTACTTGGTCAGAGTTCATTGGAATACAGGCACTCGTCCACGAGTTGGCGAAGGTTGGGATTCTCCAGGGCAGCAGCCACTCTTTCTTTATCATTCAACTGCTTGTTAACTATAAAAATGAAAAGAGCCAACTTCACAATCTCAGTTCTCAGCCTTAATTTTGAGGAGAAACATGTCAACATACAATGATAAAAGTTAGTTCTTGCACCCTGGAAATTCCCAAAATAAGATTGATGCTTTCTTGTAACTTGACACATCTCGAGGGACAAATCAACTAGCTTGGTAATATATATCAAAACTACTTTATGTGTCTGTCTGTATTTCTTTTCCCTTCTTTCAGAAAACTCATAACCCAGAATTAGCTTTTCTTGCCTAAAGATATTAGACCGAAGTAAGCAGATTGAATACCAAGCTAATAACAATTGGTCCAACGACTCCAACGGTTCCCTAGGCACATAACAAGCCAGGACAGGATGACTAGGTTCTTAGATAGCATCCAACCCTTTGCAGAAGATGCTATCTGGGATGAAATTTCTTAAGTGTCTGTCTGTATTTCTTTTCCCTTCTTTCAGAAAACTCATAACCCAGTATTAGCTTTTCTTGCCTAAAGATATTAGACCGAAGTAAGCAGATTGAATACTAAGCTAATAACAATTGGTCCAACAACTCCAACAGTTCCCTAGGCACATAACAAGCCAGGACAGGATGACTAGGTTCTTAGATAGCATCCAACCCTTTGCAGAAGATGCTATCTGGGATGAAATTTCTTAAGTTATTACCTGATGCTAAAAAAAGGGAAAAAGAGATTACCTGATTCTTCATTTGCATGCGATCCTGGAGATACTTTAATGTCAACCTGTTAAAACGCATCATCAAGCATATGCATATGGTTAAACATTTTTCCAAAAACAAAAAAATGCATATGGTTAAACACATAGCTAAACAACTATAATGTGACTCACTCAGATCAACCCTATATCTTCTATTGATTTCTCGTTATCAGTCCTAAAGTGAGACCGTACTTTTGATAAATTATGTAATGAGAAGGGGATCAAAAGATGCTAAACGGAACACTCGGGATAGTGTTAGCGTGAGGTACAGAGTTGAGCAACTCCAAAATAAGTTGGCAGTAACAGCTCACAAGGGAGATTATTCGCTAGGATAGATTCTCTATGCACCCTCTGGAAAAAAAGAGGGAAAACTAAGGGATCCCCAAGAAATGAGAGATTATTTATAGTTGGAGTAACGCTAGAAGATCACATTTTCTAATCACATTATGCGCCAATTAACAGATGGTCAAGCATGCATCAACTATCACATTATCCAACTAGCAGCTAACTGCGAACTATCCGAGAGAGATAGAGAATGATGTGTCTCGTCTAGCATCAATGGACTAAAATGCATCAAACTTTGGTCCCTATTGCAAGTTGCAACTATGCTCATTGTCAGCCTCATAACTAAAACAGATCGCACTGAAAACAGGACGCGTAAATTAATTGCTTGAAAGCTAAATACACCAACATTTCTAACATAGCAAACTGACCTTATAATGAGGAGGGAAACAGTGTTTTAGTTTAACTCTCAGGCAAAGACCTATCACTGTTGCCATACTGCAATGCTGAATAGTCGGCGTGAAAGTTATCCTAAAAAATGAATTTGACCAAAACAGAGAAGAAGAAGAAGAAAAAGATCAAAACTTCGGTAAATTCTTAAGAAACCCAGAATCAAAATTATCAGAGAAAGCTGAACTGCAGCTCAGAAACACTCACAGAATACGACCGAGCTTGTCATCAACGGTGATCGATTCCTCTGAAAGCACGCTGAGCTGCTCTAAGGAATATGGGTGCTCTGGATCTCTAATATCCCTCACGAAATTTACAATTTCCAGTCAAAGATCGCAAATTTCAGCAAAGTTGACAAAACAAAGACCATCATTTAGCTTAATTGAACTAACTGTGTTGCAGATATCAATCAGAAAACAAAATCCAAAAAAGAAAAAAAGAAAGCGAGAAATGGAAAGGATATCATAGATATCGAGAGGATCAACGGCATCGTCAGCATGGAGATCTTCAGTGCGAGCAACCCTTTCCCTTTTAGCGTGAACCACGGGGTTCGCATTGATCAGACCCAGCGTCATCTTCGCTCTCTTTACAGTCCAACTGTTTTTTCACTCGCTTCTTTCACGAACTAGCTTTACCAAGTCGAGACCTGATTGCCTTACTCGTTAACCTTTTTAATAAGCAATTAAAATAAGCCACGTAATGCAAAGAAGATAATTTTCACAGAGAAATGACGATAATGGCGACAAGCCCGTATACATTGTGAGCGGACAACATGATTGATTGATATATCATAGAATTCACTTATAAGAAATATCCATCGTACAACATTACATAGTTGATATGTCACAAAATTCATGTATAAGAAATATCCATCTTACAACATTAGTAGATTAATAATTTCATATCACAATGTCAGAATCAGATTGAAAATTTTCCAAACTTATGTTACGAAAATTTAGACCATATATGTTTGAATATTTACCGGTGAAGCTAGATGGGTCATTGGTTTTCACCGTCATCAGAATACAAAACCAAGCAAACTACTTATGAAAACGACAAAATCTAATGTTATGTACTACAAATTTTTTTTATATTTTATGTTATATATAATAACTGCACGAAAACTTAGCATCACGGTCCCGTAGCTCAGTTGGTTAGAGCGTTGGTCTTATGAGCCGAAGGTCGCGGGTTCGAGCCCCGCCGGGACCACTTTTTTACACTCCTATTATTAACATTTTTTAAAAAAAAATTTACGGGCATATTTATTTAATTTATTAAAAAAAATAAAATTTGTTGTGATTTTGGTACCAAAAATTGAAATGCAGCGACAGGAATCGAAATTTTCTGGTAAAAATATAAACACAAAGCGACGCCGTATCCATCGGTAGATATAAACGTCTGCACTTTGTCACGAAGTTCCGATCAGTTGTTCTAAAGTGTCGACGACAGCATGGTACACAGTGCCTACGATTCATTCGAGCTCATCAGCGACTGCCCTACGAAGATCGAAGCCATCGAAGCGTACGGTCCGAAGCTCCTCCTCGGCTGCTCTGATGGATCTCTCAAAATCTACGCTCCGGACTCCTCCAGTTCCGACCGTTCTCCGCCGTCCGATTACCACGCGCACAAGCTGCATCAGGAACCGTACGCACTGGAGAGAAACTTGTCCGGTTTTTCGAAGAAGCCTTTGGTCTCCATGGAGGTCCTGGAATCAAGAGAGCTCCTTCTATCGCTGTCTGAGTCAATAGCGTTTCATGGCCTCCCGAACTTGGGCACCATAGCGGTGATCACAAAGGCGAAGGGCGCCAATGTCTACTCCTGGGATGACCGCAGAGGCTTCTTGTGCTTCGCGAGGCAGAAGCGGGTCTGTATTTTCAGACATGACGGTAATTGAAATGAATTCCATTTCTCATAATTTGTCAATTTCAGTTGAAAATGCTCAATTTTTTTTGTTTTGTTTTGAAATGAATGCCAAATTGAATGGTTTTAGGAGGACGAGGGTTTGTGGAAGTGAAAGAGTTTGGGGTTCCAGATGTGGTGAAGTCGATGTCGTGGTGCGGTGAAAATATATGTATAGGGATTAGAAGAGAATACATGATACTGAATTCTACTAATGGTGCATTGTCTGAGGTGTTTCCTTCGGGGAGATTGGCACCGCCATTGGTGGTCTCTCTTCCTTCTGGGGAGCTTCTTCTTGGAAAGGTAATTGCTTTTTCTGTGTCTGCCATTTGGTTTGTGTTTTAAGGACTAAAAGCATTACGATTAGTGATTAGAGTTCTTATGTTTTAGGATAACATTGGGGTTTTTGTGGACCAAAATGGGAAGCTTCTTCAAGAAGGCAGGGTTTGTTGGTCAGAGGCTCCTAATGTTGTTGTTATTCAGAAGCCATATGCAATAGCTCTCTTACCAAGATATGTTGAGGTAGGCTGTGCCTCATACTCTAAAGAAGTTTACTTGTTTTGTCTTTTCTACTTCCGCTAGACAGTGAAAAGTTTTACCTTTCCTTTGCCAATTATGTTTTGCAGGTTCGATCACTTCGAGCTCCATATCCATTGATACAGACTGTAGTTCTTCGGAATGCTCGTCGTATTCTCCAGAGCAACAATTCTGTAATTGTTGCATTAGATAATGCTGTTTATGGTCTCTTCCCCGTTCCTCTTGGTGCTCAGGTATTCTTGATGCTCTTGCTATGCTCATGGTGGCTGACCACAGCTTGTATTGTGGGCGTACCATCTTCTTTTGAGAGTGAGTAAGAATTGTGTATTTGCGTTGCAGATTGTGCAATTAACAGCATCTGGTGATTTTGAGGAAGCGTTGGCATTGTGCAAGCTGCTTCCGCCAGAAGAAGCAAGTCTTAGAGCTGCAAAGGAGGGGTCAATTCACATGAGGTGAATATTTCAGCTTTTGTTTTTCATTTCATTTATGTGAATCATGCTTGTTCCATGCCTTTTTATTAAGTGGTAAATGAGTTTGTGTTATTGTGTTACAGATATGCTCATCATCTTTTTGATAATGGGGCCTATGAGGACGCTATGGAGCATTTTTTGGCATCTCAAGTAGATATAACCTATGTACTTTCTTTGTATCCATCTATTGTTCTTCCTAAGACAACTATGGTTTCGGAGCCAGAGAAGCTGATGGATATTTCTGGGGATTCCTCACATCTCTCAAGAGGTTCATCTGGTATATCAGATGATATGGAACCCTCTACCCCTTTGCATCTGCTGGAATCTGAAGAGAGTGCAGCATTAGAGTCCAAGAAAATGAGCCATAACACTCTCATGGCTCTGATAAAGTTCTTACAGAAAAAAAGATATGGCATAATTGAAAAGGCTACTGCTGAGGGGACAGAAGAGGTTGTTTTAGATGCAGTAGGAAACAACTTTGCATCCTATGAGTCTAATAATAGGTTTAAGAGATCGAACAAGGTAAACTATTTATATTTATTTTGTGTGCAATTTCCATATTTAGTATGTAATCTTGTATTGATACACAAGTTTTCATATGGGTCCTGAACATGGCAATCATGATCTCATGTCAAACCAAATGCAGTGTGCTAGATATTCTTGGTCAAAACTCAGATGCTGTGACTTTTGTGGTAGCAACAAAGAAAGAGTTCTATTTGTACCAAATTGTACTTATAGCTTTTAATATTAAAACAAATAGAGTAGGCTGTGGTAACTTCACTTATAATTAAAGTTATATTCGTATAGCATAAACACATGGTTGTCAAAGTGAATGACCATGCTTTGTTTATTATTTTAACCTTTTTGCTTTAACATACTTAACTCAAAGTCAACAACTCCAATATTTATGACCTTGTGTCTCTGTGTGCGCGCATATGCCCGTTCTGAATCTTCAGATTCTGCACAACTTGATACGTCTTTGTATATTGATATATTCATGATTCTTTATGTCAACTGTGACATCAATAAACTGACAGCATTTTGGTTCCTAGGGGCGGGGCAGCATCCCAGTTACCTCCGGTGCTAGGGAGATGGCTGCAATACTGGATACAGCACTACTCCAAGCTCTACTCCTTACTGGACAGGCTTCAGCGGCTTTAGAATTACTGAAAGGTCTTAACTACTGTGATGTAAAAATATGCGAGGAGATTCTCCAGAAAAACAATCACCACGCTGCCTTGTTAGAACTCTACAGGTGCAATTCAATGCACCATGAAGCTCTAAAACTTTTGCATCAATTAGTAGAAGATTCAAAATCTAACCAAGTGCAAACTGAATTGATCCAAAAGTTAAAGCCTGAGTCAATTGTTGAATATCTCAAGGTAGTTTTGTCATTTTGTTTGATGAATTGGATCTTCAATATGCTAGTTGTGTTGTTGGAATTTAATTATGTTAGTGATATGAAACCTTTAAACTGTGTCAATCTTTGACAATCTTAGACATTTGGAGTCTAGAACTTGATTATTTGGAACCAGTATATGTGTAACATACCTAGGGATATTTGATCGTTTTCTTGTGCAGCCTCTTTGTGGGACTGATCCCATGCTTGTCCTGGAGTATTCAATGCTTGTTCTGGAAAGTTGTCCAACACAGACAATTGAGCTCTTTTTGAATGGAAATATTCCAGCAGACCTGGTCAACTCTTATTTGAAGCAGCATGCTCCCAACATGCAGGCCACATACTTGGAGCTTATGCTTGCAATGGATGAAAATGGGATCTCCGGAAATCTGCAAAATGAAATGGTAAGGATGTATTGCATTGTTCACAAATTATTAGTTGGCATTTAAGAGCCATTCGGAGTTTCCTAGAAGCTAAACAGGTTGATTTGGAAGAACAGATATGTGCTGCCAATTTCAGCTACCCTGTAGGAGTTTCTATAAACTTAGGTTATAGAAGTAGTGTTTCTGTATTTACTAATCAAAACTGCATTCTAATTGATTTAGTGCATGGCAGGTACATATCTATCTATCAGAAGTTCTTGATTGGCATGCTGATTTAAGTGCTCAGCAGAAATGGGATGAGCAAACTTACTCCTCAACAAGAAAAAAATTATTGTCTGCTTTAGAGAGTATTTCAGGATATAACCCAGAGCCTTTGTTGAGACGTCTTCCAACAGATGCTTTATATGAAGAGCGTGCAATTTTGTTGGGAAAAATGAACCAACATGAGCTTGCCTTATCTCTATATGTTCATAAGGTATTTTCTATATCTTCACATCCTATAACTCATATATATGCTTTTTGAATTCTTGCTTTTCTTTATTATCTATTATTTTTCTTATGAATCCTGTTTGAATAGATTAAGTTCTTTGCTTTTGTAGCTTCATGTTCCTGAGCTGGCACTGTCCTATTGTGATCGAGTGTATGAGTCATTGGTTCATCAGCAATCTTCAAGATCTTCTGGCAATATATACCTCACTCTATTGCAAATTTATCTTAATCCGAGGAGAACAACCAAGAACTTTGAGAAGCGAATTACAAATTTAGTATCACCTCAGAATATCGGTACACCAAAGGTTGGTTCTGCAAATACAGTTAAAAGTAAAGGAGGTCGTGGAAATAAGAAAATTGCTGCAATAGAGGTGGCAGATGACATAAGAGTCGGTCAAAGTAGCACTGACAGTAGCAGGAGTGATGGAGATGCAGACGAATCTAGTGAGGAAGGAGGTTCAACAATCATGCTTGATGAGGTCCTGGATTTGTTAAGCCGAAAGTGGGACAGAATAAATGGAGCTCAGGCGCTCAAACTTTTGCCAAGGGAAACTAAGCTGCAGGTATTGATCATATTGATTAAGGACTTGTGAACTTAAGAAACTTGTTAAATAAGCTAAATTCATATCAAATAACCAGAGAAGGCAATGTATCTGATACATTATCTGGTCATGAGTGTCATTCTTCTGTATGATTTTATCTACCACAACATAATGCATTTACAAATACTGGAAAGAATCGTTCAAATTTGTTCTTAAATATTATTTCAAAGCATTGGTGTTAATATGTTTCTTAAATCCGCTTTGTTCACCCAAGGTTTTATCCTGTTTTCCATGCTGAAGTCATGTATTATTATCATTTATCTGCAGAATTTGCTTCCATTTATGGGACCCCTGTTGAGAAAATCCAGTGAGGCATACAGGAACCTTTCAGTGATCAAGAGTTTGAGACAAAGTGAGAACCTGCAGGTATGCATATATCGTAGTCTCAGATACTTAGTTTGGTAATGAGTAGGTAGCTTAGGGACTTGACCCACTTGCAGTTTATACTGAATGCTTAGTTCTGTGTTCTAATTTATTCTGCTTTTTCCCTTGGTGCATATGCTTGCGTTCCTTTGTTACCTTTTTTTTTGGCTCGTTTCAAATGCTTCTGTTGTGGTTGAGTTTCCTCACCCAGTTATTCATGTTAATAATTTTAAAATGTAGACCAGTACTTGATTGAACTTCTTCTAAACCAATGATTATCCGAAACAGGTCAAAGATGAACTCTATGAACAAAGGAAAGGGGTGGTGAAGATCACAAGTGATAGCGCGTGCTCCCTTTGCAGGAAGAAAATAGGAACAAGTGTCTTTGCAGTGTATCCGAATGGAAAAACAATAGTACATTTTGTCTGCTTCAGAGACTCACAAAGCATGAAAACCGTGGGCAGAGGATCGCCTTCCCCGCTAAGGAAGCTATGAAGACCAAGCAATACGTGCATAAATCCAAGTATTCTGGGTGCTGCTACTTTTGCTCAAGTGACAGTAGAAACACTGGTGTGACATTCGGCCAGAGGCTCATTGTAGATTGGTGTGAGAGTGAGGTTGTGGGTTTTCTTTGTTGGTTATATAGCTTTTGTTTTGTGAAGATTGTAAAATGTAAAAATTTTCTTGATTTTAAGTTATAAATTAAAAGTGCATTGAATTTGTGGTATCAAAGAACAAAAACCCAAGAAGACATCAGATCCATTTTGATTGTTAGGCAATGCCATTGGCATTGGCATTGTTTGCTTTCAACAATTTCTTACTTGACTTTTTCCCTGTAAAATGGTAAACAGTAACTCCAACCCTGGAGCCATGGCACGGTGGGTCCACGTGCAAAACCTCAACCTCAAAAACCTTCCTTGCCTTCTTGAAGAAAGCCGAGTCCTTCTTCCACCTCCTCAAGTGGGCCATCACAAACACCCTTCCCTCCTCCGCCTCCTCCCCACCCAATATCAACAAACGCAGCGTTTTGAGCAAGGGCTCGTACAGGTGATCATGGTACACTACATCCGAGGCTATGATAAGGTCAAACTCCCGCCCAATTACCTCAACGTCCTCGGCCTCTCCCCATCTCAGCGCCGCCACGTGGACGACCCCGCCGTTCGCGGCCAAAACGGCGGCATTCGCTTCTACGTTAAACAAAAGGTTAGGAATGACGTGCGGGAGGTCCGTGACCGTGACGCTAGCTCCGAGCGTGACAGCGGCGGCGATTCCAACAAGGCCGGTTCCGGAGCCGAGCTCGAGGATTTTGAGCGGGGGGCGACGCGCGTCCAAGGCCGTGAGAGTGGGGCCCAGCGGGCCAGTGCTAGGGTTACGGCGGTGGTCGTCGAGGAGAGTAAGGAACGTGGTGGCGGCTGGCCAGAGCTGGAAGGAGAGACCTTGAGACGGAAGCTGCCGGATGAAGACGGTTGAGTTGATGGAGTGGAGGCAATGTTTAGTCGGTGGAAGGAGAATAGCGGCGGTGACAGGGCTTAGAGTTGCATCGTCTTCAGAACCGTCGCCTTGTTGAGCGGCCATTGTTCGATGCTCTGATGCGCCGACGAGGATTTTCGTTGCGTTTGACTTCAGTTCAATTCAATTAGGGCTCGTTTCGCGCACTATTTATGATATTTATTTAATTTTTATACCGCCAACTTGAGTGGATTGCTATGTGGCCCCCACATGGTACAGCGGGATATTGCCTCTTTAGCAAATTTACCAAAAGGCCCCTTCCCCCTCCCGGCTGTGAAGGCTGTGTGTGATCTCATCTGTGTTTTCTGATCTGAGTGACTGAAACCCCCCCCCCCCCCCCCAAAAAAAGAAAGAAAGATGTGGGGGGGGGGGGGG